ATTTTTTGGTTGCAGCCATCATTGTTGTTTGGCGGGTCCGGGCTGGGGATTTGAACCCGCCACCTTAGGTGTACGTGGCTGGCGCCTTAGCCACTTGAGCCACAGGTGCTGAGCCGATACCATAAACAACTTGATAGCATGTCACAAATCATATCTTTTCAACATTTGGCCTCAACGTAGGCATCTTTACTTCTGAAAGTAAATGACTCCATAATCAGCATCAACACACATACTTGTAAGGGATTCCTGGAATTGGCAATGATTCAATCACTTGGCCCTTATGACATTCATAGTCTTGACAATTTGCATGGCGTTATCTGTTTTTAAAGCTTTTTTTTTTTTTTCTTGAGACAGAGGCTCTCACTCCCTCGCCCCGGGTAGAGTGCCATGGCATCATCGTAGCTCACAGTAACCTCAATCTCTTGGGCTCAGGTGGTCCTCTTGCCTTAGCCTCCCAAGTAGCTGGGACTATAGGTAAAGGCCACCAGGCCTAGCCAGGTTTTAGTAGAGGCAGGGTCTCACTCTTGCTCAGACTGGTCTCAAACTCCTGAGCTCAAGCAATCCACCTGACTCATCTTCCCACAGTGCTAGGATAAAACGCATGAGCCACCATGGCCAGCTGTTTTTAAAGCTTTTGCACATAAATTTCTTTAATGTACTATGCAATGATACTTCATCAAAGGTGAGTTTTGGGCAGCAATTGCATTGTCTTCCATTAATTTTACAAGTCTGTCTGTCTCACCTACCATCCCTGGGACACTATCAGTAGCTATACCAGATATGTTGACAATGGACATAGAAAATCAGTTTTACATATTTTGTACTGCTTGTATAAATCTCTTGATTTAGCTGTGTCTTTTCATGGCACTAAAGAAGCCATTTCTTTAATGACATTATATTCATCATCAGTACCTCTAATAAAAGTAGTGAGTTGAGCTGTATTTGTAGTATTTTGCCGTCATCCATTGCCAAAGCATAAAATTTAAAATTAGCACTCTTACTCTCTAAACTTCTTTTCATAGATTTTCTAATGTCTTCAATCTCCTGAATGTAATCTGATGAGACAAATTGATTTTCGAAATATCTCCCTTTTTTTTCAGGGCAAATTCTATTTGCCATCCTTTCCATACATTACCTAATAAACTCACCATCAGTAACTAGTTGGTTTTTTTTTTTTTTTGCTATTAAATATGCTACTACAGGGCGCGTCCCGTGGCTCAGAAGGTTAGGGCACCAGTCCCATATGCCAGAGGTGGTGAGTTCAAACCCAGCCCCAGCCAAAACACTGCAAAAAAAAAGTACACATATATATATATGCTACTACATATCTAGCTTTTGCAATGGAATCCATCTGAGTTGTAACTTTTTAGAAAATTTTTTGTTGATAACAGACTTTTTTCAGTTCTGTTATTATTCCTTCTAACACAATCCTTCATATGTATCAAATCTGGCAGCGTGTTT